ATTATATCTCGTAATACGCAGAGTTTGGGCTTTATTAAATCATACGGAAACATGCAATTACAAATACTATATAACTGTGACTTTTCATTTACAAGGCAAGCATTTGTTCTTAACTTTGTTTTCGGCATATTATTCGCCATATTATCGGCATCATATTATGCCGTCGTACAGCTACTCAAATCTATGCTTCAGTTGACTGGTTCAAAATGTTTCCTAGCAGATGGGCGTCCGCGAAGTCGGCCATCTCGTCGTCAAGGTGATGTCCTCCAGTCGCCAACTTTCGCTGTGCGAAAGAAAAATAGCGAATAAATAATCGGCTATTAGGTGACGCAACTCCCGAATTACAATAATTAACATATTCGATAAGTAATTCTAGAGTGTCCACTCTAGCCGATATAACCAATAAATTGGTGTTTCCGATTCATGCTAATATAATCTCGCTAGGATCTAATCCTCGTCGATATAATAAATTATCAAAAATTATCATTTTAAGCTGCTTAACACTAATAATAAGGCAATTTTGTCAGATTTTTTCTCCATGAAAAAGTCAGTAGCATGATTTGTATTTGAAGTACAATGCAATACCAAGATTTAATCATATATATAAAATAGTAATAATTCATAAATTTACAAAAAACACTGCGCGATACTAATAACTTTTTGAATTGATCTGCCGCAAGAAGGACAAAAAAACATATCATCAATAACAATGATCACAATACATAATTATGTATTATTTGAATTCACATGATAGCACATGATTCACTGAAGCTCCGTTGGCGTCGCATGAGATACTATACAGTTACTGATGTCGTTCATCTCACAGCAGCGGCAGCAGGCAGCAGCAGCAGGGCAGCAGCCGGCAGCAGCAGCAGCACCCAGCAGCAGCAGCAGCAGCAGGAAGCCAGCAGCAGGAGCCAGCACCACCACCACCAGCCACCCAGCAGCAGCAGCAAGCAGCAGGAGGCACAACCACCACCACCAGCACCACCACCAGCAGGCAGCAGCAGCAGCACCGAGCACCACCACACCAGCTACCCCACCACGCAGGCAGGCAGCAGCAGCAGCAAAAAAAGCAAGCAGCACTTACCCACCCACCAGCAGCACCACCACCAGCAGCAGCAGCACCACCACACCAAACCACCACACGACCAGCAGCCGCATGCAGCTAGCAGTTAGTGTATTTAAACAAATGATCTGTTTTTGTTATGTTTATTCGCTTCTCGATATTGCAGCGCGAATGACGTCAGCGGTCCTTTCTGCATGACAATGTCACCAAGACGTCGGACGAATCCGGGTCATCGTCTCTGGTCTCCGTACACGACGCGACTAACTGGCGCCCCCCGATACCTTTGCGGAAGAGCGCGTGGTGCGGCAGCCAATTTCGGCAGTCCCGTCTCCCGCTGAGGAACTTGCCCAGTTCGTGAGCGCGGTTCGGTGCGCGCATCAGCGATGCACAAAGCTGTCTCGTTTGACGATGGTCGCCACCTGGGTTCGTCGCTCAGCTTGTTTGTCTTACGAAAGTCTGCGAATGGGCGGCGACGGCACGCCCCTGCAGGTCCATAAAGACCGAGCGATCAGACGACGTAGAGCGTGAGGTGTGTACGCGATGACGGGCAGAGAGCAGCGAGGCGGCGAGGAGGAGGGAGGAAAGGGAGAGGACGGGAGAGAGGAGGGAGGAAGGAGAGGATGGTGAGGAGGAGGGAGGAAGGGAGAGGGACGGGGAGGAGGAGGAGGAAGGGAGAGGGATGGTGAGGAGGAGGGAGGAAGGGAGAGGACGACGCAGGAGGAGGGAGGACAGGCGAGAGGATCGGGGAGGAGGAGGGAGAGAAGAAGAGGGAGCACAAGGATGGCAGGCGGTTAGGAGGAGGAGGCAGCTAGGGAAGGGAGATGGAATCAGGTGAGGAGGAGGGAGAAGGGAGACGGACGAACGCGGGAAGGCAGGAGGCGAGAAGAGACAACATTGAGAGGACGACGAGGAGGAGGAGAGGAGGGAGACGGAAAGGGAGCGAGAAGGAAGGAAGGAAGAGAGAGATGGTGAGGAGGAGTGGAGGAAAGGGAGAGGATGTGTTGAGAGGGAAGGGAGAAGGGAGAGGACGGTGAGGAGGCAGGGAGGAAGGGAAGAGGATGAGTGAGAAGAGGAGGGAGGAAGGGAGAGGAAAATGTGAGGAGCCGAGTGGAAAGGAACGGGAGAGGATGCGTGAGGAGGAGGGAGGAAGGGAGGAGGACACCGGGAGGAGGGAGGAAGGGAGAGGCACGGGAGGAGGAGGAGGAGAAAGAAAGCTGACGAGGATGGCAGGCGAGTTAGGACGGAGGTAGGGAAGAAGAGGAGAGGATGGTGACGAGGAGGCGAAGGAAGGGAGAGGACACGGTAGGGAGGAGAATGAGGAGAGGGGAGAGGAGAGACGAGGAGGAGAGGAGGAATGAGGAAGAGGCGGGGAGGAGGAGGGAGGAAGGGAAGGCATGGTGAGGAGGACGGGAGAAGTTGATGAGGACGCTAAGGAGGAGGAGAGGGAGAGAGGGAGAGAACGACAGACGGATAAGCCAAAGAGGAAAGGATGAAAATGACAGGGAGGAAGAGAGGGAGAGGGAGGAGGTGAGGAGGAGAGGAAAGGGAGAGGATGGGTGAGGAGGAGGGAGAGGGAAAGGAGAGCGGAGAGAAGAGGGAGAGAGATGGATGACGGAGAGGAAGGTGAGGAAGGACGGGAGGAAGGAGAGGAAGGGGAGGAGTGGGGGGGCTTAGCACTAAAGGAGGGGGGAAAGGGAGGAAGGGAGGAGGGAAGCGGGAGAGAAGGGAGAGGAGGAGGAGAGGGAGAAGGGAAGGTGGTGAGGAAGGATGGAGAAGGGAGATAGGATGGTGAGGACGGAAGGAGAGGAGAAGACAGGAGGAGTGAGGAAAGGAAATGGTGGAGAGAGCGAGGGAGGAAAGGGAAGAGGATGGTGAGGAGGAGGGGGAGGAAGGGAGGGAGAGGTGAGGAGGAGGAAAGGAAGGGACGGAAGGAACGAAGGGAGGGAGGAAGGAGAGGACGGAAGAGAGCGAGAGGAGGGGACGAGGAGGAGGAGGAGAGAGGAAGGGTAAGAGAGAGAACGGGAGGGAGAGGAGCGGGAGGAAGGAGAAAGTAGGGAGGAGGAGAGAGGATAGTAGGAGGAGAGGACGGAAGAGAAGGTGAGGTGAGGAAAGACAGAGGGAGGAAGGGAGAGAGGACGGGTAGTAGGGAAGATGGAGGAGGAAGGAGAAGGAAGGGAGAGGGAGGAGAGGGAGAGGGAGGGAGCGGCAAAGGGAGGGATGAGACGGGAGGGAGAGGATGGTAAGAGGCAGGGAGGAAGGGAGAGGATGGTGAGGAGGAGGGAGGAAGGGAGACGGATGGGTGAAGGAGGGAGGAGGAGAGGAGGTAAGAGGAGAGGAGTAGGAGAGGATGGTAGGAGAGAGAGGGAAGAGGAGAGTGAGTAGATAAAGAGGAAAGGAGGGAGGTAGAAGGAGGAGAGGAAGAGAGAGGATGGTGAAGAGGAGGGAGAAGGGAGAAAGGATGGTGAGGAGGATGGGAGGATAGGGAGAGGACGGGGAGGAGGAAGGAGAGGAAGGAAGAGGAGCGCGCGCAAAACTGAGACTGAGAGGGAGGTCGAATGGAGCATGGTAGAAGGGAAGAGGCTGACGGTGAGGAGGAGGAGAGAGAGGGAGAAGGACGACGAGGACGGCAGGGCGTTAGGAGGGGGAGAGGGAGGGAGAAGGAAAGGAGGAGAAGAAGGAGGAGGGAGGGAAGAGGAAGGAAGAGGGTGGGAGGGAGAAGACGGTGAAGATTGAAAAGCAAGAAAAAGAGGAAACATGAGAATAAAGAGTCGAAGCAGGGAGAAGAAAACTCGTAAAGAAACATGCATGTAATAACTGTAACTCAAGTGTACAACATAGACATTAACCTGACCTCAACTAGATCTCGTAGAAGAGAATAGAACGTGGCCGCTATTTCTCTGCTCCCAATATTCCAGATTGTGCCAAAATAGTTGCGCAAATACCACTGCGAACAGGAAAAACCATATAAATATATATTCGCATCTATTTACTTCTTATTTCTCACGAACGCACGTGCACGAACGCGTACATTTTCATAGAAATACAGCAGCAGGTTGTAAAACATTGGTAATAACTTGTAATTAGTTAATTAGTAACACAGTAGAATTACTAGTAATTACACAATAATTAGTGACAGTACTAATTACTAGCAATTAGTAATACAGGCGATAAGACAGCGGACGTTCGACAGAGTTATGAGTCACCATTGGTCGCCTGCCATTCTTTCCATGTACTGTCGCATAGTCCACGCACGCAAGTTTTCTAAGCCAGTGTCTCCCTCCACACCTGACGCCACTACCCTCATTTTCATGTCCTTGGAACATGAAGTGAGCGGACACGACGACGTCCTTTATAATTGGCGGCTCACGTAGATAATCTGCATGCAAACAATAAATAACAGGTCAGAGGTGAGAGGTCAGAGTGAGCCTACGAGCATAATACGTCACGCGCTACGCTGCCTACAGATGTGATAGCGATAGTGCGTTATTTTTTCTCTTAAAATATCATTTTATCTTATAACACAATCTACGACTGATATATGTAGAGTTGATATTGCAGTTGATGTGTGTTGCACTAAATCGTATTTTAGCGAGTGCGAGAGGTTCACTCGTGTTGAACAGACAAGGATCGAAGGATGGAAGATCAAAGATCGAAGGATCGAGATGCTCCACGTTACGTCGCACGCGTTGGTAGTAATTCGCCTGGAAACGCGCGCAGTAGATTCAAGATTCAAGATTCAAAGTAGAGATGTTCTTTTTGTTTGTTTTGTTCATCAACCCCTCCGTCACACCTTCTCCCGTAAATAGCCGCTATTGTCATCATGTCACCATAACGCCCGCCCGCCGCGCCGCCCGCTACGGACGTGTTCGGGGGGAGGGGGAGACGTTCACGCTGCTACTTGCACTTCTTCTTTCTGGCCTCTTGTGGGAGGCGTTCTCCACGGATAGTGCGTTTTGAATATTCGTGGCGACTCCATCTCATCTCGCGGCACATACTCGTTCCCGCGCCAACTGCAACGTAGACACACACACGCACATAGACTCTGATTGTGAGCGCTGTGGAACGTGGATTCTGCACATGGGCTATTACATGTGAAAAGGACCGCGCATAATCACAGGCCCTGATGCAGATATACAGAGTCATTCTTTGTCGGATGAAGTTGTGGACATTCTAGTTGGATGTTCACCCCTCACTGGATATCTGATGAGGCGTACGTGCACATGCTCACCGCGTGAGCGCCACGCATAACCGACCGCACGCACGCACACGCATGCACGCACACACACACACACACACACACACACACAGCGCGCGCGCGCGCGCGCACGATACACGCACGCACACACAACACACACGCACGCACGCACACACGTCGCACGCACGCCCATGCACGCACGACACACACACACACATGCATACACGCACACACTCACACACTCACAAACGCACGCCGGCACGCACACACGCACTCATATATACATATAGCCACCTGTAGCCGATCTCAGGCATGGCGTTCATCAAACTTTCTTCCCTGTCTCGACTTCGGGTCGGCATCGTGTAGAACGAGCCAGGTTATCTCCTGCGCGAACGTAGTTCCTGTCGCCGAGGTCAAAGGTTAATGCTGAACGATGCCCTAGCGGTCGCGGTGGGGGAATAACACCGTGTAGAATTTACACACAACTACTACTCAGTACTGTCCGGCGCTTCTCTAATGCGTATGCAATTGCTAGTATCGAGTCTATCGACAAGGGAAATCAATATATATATTATTTATTTATACATATCAGCCCTTATTTACCTCGGCTTTTTTTTCTTCAGCCCCTGCAACGGAGCGTCACGTGCGCGTGTTCTAACACAACAACAACACACAACAACTACTACAACAGCGACAACAACAGCTACTATAGCCCACAACACCAACACACAACAACTACTACAACACACAACAACTACTACATCACACAACTACTACTACCTGCTACTACTACTACAACAACAATTATATACTACAGCACACAACAAAGACTACTACTACAACAACTACTACAACCCACAACAACAGCAACACACAACAACAACTACTACTACAACTACTATAACACTCAACAGCAACCCACAACAACAACTACTACTAGAACAACAACATACAACAACTACTACTACAACAACTACAACCCACAACAACAGCAACACACAACCAGGGGCGTAGCTACGGGAGGGCCTGGGGGGCACGTGACCCCCCCCCCACAAATTTTCTGTGCACCCCCAGGTTCCCCCCCCCACTGAAAATTCATGCTTGATCAAAAAAAATTGAATTAAAAACAATGCCGTTAGAACAGTATAATACAAAGAAAGAGGGTTCGAACCACATCTCAGTAAAATTATATATTGTGTCCCCCACGAAAATGTAAGGCCCCCCCCTCGAAAAAATCCTAGCTACGCCCACTGCACACAAACAACAACTACTACTATCTCGCGCGTCTCTAACGCGCATGCGCCAGCCTCACGGCTCTTGGGGAACGTAGCGACGAACCCGTCGTCGTCGCGGCATTTCAGTTCTCGATTTTGGGCGGGTCGTCGGCACATTCGTTCGAGAGGAATTTGATTTCCTTGAACGTAACGATGTCGATGATGAAACCATTCTCGCGCCTTCCGACGGAGTCTGGCTGCTTTCCTTCGACGCCATGGCAACGGCTGACAGCGAATCGGAAATGCGCAGAAAGTTAACGCCAACTCAGCTGTGTTGTGCGTGCGTGCGTGCGTGCGTGTGTGCGTGCGTGCGTGTTCCGTTCTGACTAACAGAAGGAAGTGATAACTGAAACAAGTACATAGGACGAGTTAACACTTGTGGCCTCGTAACGACCAACGCCAGGACCACTATACAAGCAAATGATATTTATCACTCTAAAACAGAAACAAAATTAGTCTTAACATTAACCC